TCTTTTCCAACCTACACGATTCTATGGTTCTATGAATTGCAGAGTACAATCCCTGAAGACCCAGTACCCCAGGGGAAGAGGTCAGACAGTAGAATCTAGCAATTTTTCTGATGATTTCTAAAGATCAATGAGTAAGTTTCCAGAGAGCTAATTATTGTCTTTTGCTTTGATACAGCTGCTATTGAAGAAGATGTTGTGAGATACAAATACGTGAAGAAGAAGGGCTATGTGCGACTTCACACTAATAAAGGAGACCTAAACTTGGAGCTGCACTGTGATATGGTACTGTGTACCCCATAAGATGAATCTCTCTAGATAACGAACAGAATGGGAGCTGGCAATGGAAATGTCCAAAGAAAGGAATAGTGTTCAGTTGTAATAGATACAGATAAATAACTAGCTTTCAGTTGTTTTGGTGTGTTTTCATACATACACAAAACTCCATTGTAAAATGTATATATATTATTTTATATATTATACTACTATATGTATAAATGTTCTCTGTTAGTAGTCCCATACATTTTAGTGGACTACTTACAACATGTCAAGGTACCTGTTTAGAGCTTCAAAGGGTCAGGATTACAGTGACCCAAACAATGACAAGGAAGATAGAGAGAAAAAAGAAGGAACAGCACAGAGAAGAGAGAATAACGCAAGGTTACACAGCAGGTTACTGGCAGAACCAGGAAAAGAACCTCAGTGCAACTGAGAGCAGTCTGTCAGCCTGAGTACATGTAGTTAAGAACCCCAGAAATGGTTAGATTTGCTTCTAAATCCTGAGCTTTACAGAACAAACCTAAATGAAAACCTTAGAATATGTTTTTTACTTCCTGCTGTCTCAGTTTTTAAGGTTCAAGTTTTCAAACATCTTACCTCTGCCATTAAGAGGTAGATATTCATTTTAAAAAAACAACGGACTAGAGTTTTTTATAGTCAATACAGTCTGATTCTGGGGGAAATCTGTGGCTCTTAAAATAATAAACATGGTAAGACTTGTGATAGACGGATGAGTTGTGGCGACACTGATGTCTCAGACGTCACTGCTTACTAGTGTGCTGGCTTATTTATTTATACAACCACATCTATAAAAGGAAAAAAGTTTTCAATGTAAAAAGCCCAAACCTTCCATTGTTTACTGAGATTTTTATCTCAGGAGATTATAGGCCTGAAGGTAGATGTTTTAGGAAGTTGAAGGATGTGAATAGGGGTTTAAATGGTAAAACTTCTGCTTGTTGTGACCCTCAGAGAAGTTAAGGACAGTGGTGCTGGCTAGGCGCTGGGGTGTCCGGTGTGCATCCAGAGATGCACTGGGAGAATGCATCCTTTTTTGCCTGAGAGAAAGAAAAAGAAGCAAACAGGACAAGCCTGCTAGCTTTCCCTTCTCTTCCTTTCTCTTGCACGAGTAAGGAGCAAGATACGTGTAAACATCTCAAGCTGATCTATGGAAACAGTATGAGAACCTCCATAGCAGCGTGTCCTGCTAGTAATTCTGTAGGTCCCTATCATCCTTACAGGTGTTTTCCATGCTCTTAAATAGTAACACTATGTAATAAGGCAAAAAGCAGAGGATGTTAGTACAGCAATATTTGGGGGAAGCAGCAGAATGAGCAGATTGCATTGAATCATTTGTTTTGCCATATGTTCTCAAACTGGCTCCTGGCTAATGCAGGCTGATTGCAACTATTCTTAACAGTGTGGGTTTTTTGGCCACATGTGTGACCAGTGTCACTCAGTCCTGAGGACTCAGTCTCAGTTGCCCATTATAAACTTCCTGTATGATATCCATCGTGTTTTCTTTTTTCCAGATGAATCCCTATTCATCTCCCTTTCACACACACTGCTTCCTCATGTACACATTGGAAGTGTGCACTGTTTCACACAACCAGACCTGCTTGAACACTGGCCTCTAGCCATCTGTTTCTTTCATTTCTTTGTGTCGATTAAATCTGTGTGAATTAAGCAGACCTTTGGCACTGCAGAGGGGAAAAAAAAATATATATTTAGAATAAGTAGGAAAAACTTGCTGCTTTAAGGAGGTTTCCACCACATCCACTTTAGGTCATCATCCTCTGGTCTATTAAATCAGTTCTTCCGGGAGGCGCTTGTTTTTCTCCCTTTACTATATAAGGAGGTTGTGCTTCTAATTTTGGTTTTCCTGAATCACAGTGAGGTTAGGCATGTAAGGTAGCTCAGTGCAGGTAGAGCAAACATCTTACAAACATATAACACATATATAGGTCACAAACATATACACAGATCAGCTACAGTGGATCTATTGAGACTGCAAAGACAGACAGAAAATGGGGAAATGCCAAAATCAAGCCTTTCTAAACACTTCCAGTTTACCCTGCTTGTGAATATGCATGGTAATAGTCTTAATTAATCATATGGTGAATTTTTTATCAGCTCTCCTGGCTTATTCAGTGCACAAGCTAAACCAGTTCTGGGAGCTATTTGGAACTGTGTAGTGAAATGGTTTATCTGCAGGATTTGGTTTTCCTGCAGAAGTGTAGAATGTAGGTAAGGTCCTTGAATGCAATCAGGGGAACCAGACTGTATCATAATGCTTACCCAAATTAATGTTGCACAGGCTTTTTAGTGCCTGACTTTTCAGCCTTCGTGATTTTTTAACATAGCTGGCATGGGTAGTACCCTGGTTTTTCAGAAAGAAACGGAGAAACAAATTTCAGCCCACAGCACTGTATTGAGATCACCAGCAGATTTGGGGTCCCTGAATTCAACACACAGTTCTGTGCTACTTGAGTGAATGGGAGAGATGATAGCAGTGTTAGGTTGTCATTACTGTTTGAATTCAGCCAAAATATGTGTGATTTGGGGAATTCATACATCTGTTCTCTCTAGCAGTGCAACTGCAGGAGCAAGTATATGATTTATAAGCCATATTACTGTGGTGCTTAGCTTCTCTTTTTAAAGACCAAACACTGCCTGACCGGTTGTTGTCTTGACCTGACCACAGGCTCCTTTTTTTAATTACTGAGTGATATCCTGTGCTCTGGTTATTATGGAAGCCACCCTAGCAGTGATGGTATTTGCACAGTACTGCAAATACATGATTGTTAAATGCTTTAGGAAGCTTGAGGATGAAGTTGCTATATAAATATGACAAATGAATACCTGTGTCCAGAGGTAGGACTTGCAACATTCAAATTACATTTTAAAATAGTCTTACGGGTTAGATTTCAATATACACTTCGAGGTAAAGTCTTCTTGCTGAAATAGAGAACAGCAAGTGACATACTTGCTGTCTTAGAGTGTATGTCTGCTGAATCTTCAATTGTATTTTCAAGCCTATGGGCTGTCTATTTAAGCAAAATATTCTTGCAGGTGTGCTCTCAGCAGTCTCCTGTTCTTTCTTTCCCCTGTTTTTTGTGAACTGTCTGGCAGTATGAATTGTTTGGAGTTCAGTCTGTATGTACGCGTGGAAACTTTTGTTTAAAAATAAATCTAGGGATCTTCATACACTGGTACTTTAGGTGCCAATCAGTAAGATTGATAGTGATGAGATTCTTCCTAGCACCAAAAACCTAATCAAGAAATGTTTTGTATTGATCCAGGGGAGGAAATCAGTGCTGCGGTGTGATTGAAGTCATCAGTTACTTTGTGACAGAATTCAGAAAGAGAGCATGAAATAGGGCTAGAATCCAGGTATTTTCTGTGTTGGAAATCACTTGTTCAGAGCACCAGAAAACTTCACTTAGGTTCCAGAAAAATGATGCGTGGTGTAAGTCATTGACCTGAGAAAAGGCAATAAAGGCTTTGGAAGATAAGCTGGATATTTTTCCACTCTTTTGAATTTGTGCCTCAAATGAGCAAAGGTACACTACTGTTCTTTCTTTGCATCCTAGTGGTGTGCGTAGTGCTCTTTGTTGCCATTTGTTTTTCTCCTGTCGTCTTATCAGATACAGTATGTTCCTCCTGATGGGGACTAATCAGATGGCCATTTGTTAGGGACATTTTCCAGGAAGCTGAGTTCAGCTGGGCATAAGCAACATTTGTTGTATAGACTAATTGGAAACAAATTTACAAAAATTCTACTCACCAGAAGTAATTCTGGAAAGTACAGAAGATTTAACAGCTTCCAACAAGTGTTATTCTTTCAGCTCTAGTCTTATGCATCACCAAACAAATAAATTATGAAAAAATAACTGATGAAAGGCAATGAATGTCATTGGATTTCTTGTATTGTATTTACTGTGATTTTTCTAATCTCAAGTTCTTTTAGTTGCTTTAATCAGGATGCTGCTGGGAACAACTGTCTATGTCATCCGTGTGTATTCTGCTGTATTAGTGACTATAGTGATGCAGTTATACCTTGCAGGTGGTGGAGCAGCCTCTTAAGGCAGGGTGGAGGCAGACTCCTAGTCTCTGCACCTGTGAAAGGGAATAAAAATTCCTCCTTTTGCCTCTAGGTTGCTTTGAGGCTTTCTTGTTTAGTGTTTGTACTTTTTTATTTTCATTGTGCTATGGAAATTATACATATATAAAAATTTAACACTCCACAAGACCCTGTCAAAATGACGAACAGGAGATTTAGTGTACTATCTCCCTTCTCTCCTTTGTGAGTTCTCCTCGTACAGGTGGTCACTGTGGGGTAAGGATCTGGTGGTTAAACACATGCTGATAGTGGTAATTGAATACTAATCCCTAACTGCCACGGCAGTTTTTCTAAATTCGGCTGTCTCTCTCAGGTTTAATACTTTAAGGTTTAAGGGCAAGTTGGCGTAACAAAGAAGAATGTGAGATGGATTTCAAAGCTCCATCCAGCACTCCACAAATGCTTTTTGAGGTTTTAGGACCTGGCAAACTCTGCTTAATGATGATGTCTTGGCATAACTATCTGAAGAAGCCATTATTCTACAAACACTGATGTTTTAATCTTCTGAGGCCCTCTGACCTGTTAAATATGCCTGTGATCTATAAATGTGTAATCCAGCCCCTGGTCTTTGAAATCATCTTTCCTTTTGTGTGAGGGACTGTTCTGAAGATCAGAAGCCTGTAAACTTCTTATCCATTTCCAGTGGGAAAGAAGCGAGTTGCTGAAAAAATCCTTTGACATCCTGGCATGACGAGGTTCCCCAGTCTTCCTGAACCTCTCATTTTCTTTCTGATTTAGGCGTCCATTCTACTCACTTTCTGTCAGCGTAATTGTGGCACTGTCCGGCAAATAACTAGCTGGTGTTTTACCAGTGTCTTGTTCACTTAGTAATATGGTTGTAGGGATGAAGCACAGTGGTCTTGGCATGGTTGTAAATGGCTTATTT